AGAATGCTCACCACTTTTTATAGAGCGTTTCGTATCGTAGTAAAGTAAGCGTTGACGCAACTGGTATCCTCACTAACGACAATGCTGTTGTCGGTGACGATAGCAGGACCAAGAGTGATGACAGAGAGGAACATGTAAACGAAAATGAAGTTCCATTAGTGCGATCATGTTTAGTTATCAAAGAGACGATTTCCTGGTTATGTATCACTGATCGCTATTTGATCCAATTGTTTAGATTAATCAGAACAGCTTTCCAATTTGTCGGTGTACAGTCTACTGAGCAACTGCGCGACGGTGACTCTGCCCCTCCAAACAGATTAGGGTTGGGAGCGACAACAGTGAAAATATATCCAGTTCGAACTTGATCCTAGTGATCGGAATGATCTAGCTTTGTTCCGCGTGAATCGCAGTCCAAAAACATCGTAGGCAGAACTGCTTGTTGTGTATGGCTAGTAGCGTTAAGTGGGATATATAGAGTCCCACCGACTACATGATAGGAGAAAATGGCAACAGCATTACGCCGATACGCTTAGCGACGGTTACCTGCCGCGCAGATACCACCAGTTGCGTGTGGGATAGGATACTGCAAGGGTCACTCGGTCCCCTAGGCAAGCTCGTATCCGCGATCTCAAATTACAAGGCAAGCTTTGGATCTCTAAGGTCATGGGCCTTACTGGTTGGATCCACTAAACTGACATACGTAAAAGTCAAGTAGCTTTCTGGCCCCGTTTTAAATTTACTACTGAAGTCCAAGTGAGCAGTACTGCATCGCAATAGCATACAATTGATATTTCTCCACAGCTCTCTTCCCCAGACCAGATTACGAGGAAGACAGCTGAACTTAAATGGTTTACATTGTTGGACTACGACCCTCACATCATGGCTATGTTCATGTCAGTATGCAACAACCACATTAAGTCAGGTGTCAGGAAGTAGCAACCCCGAAAACTATCCACTTGGGTGAAACCACATTTGGTACTAACCATGAGGTATGCAACAAACTACTGATAATGGTACTTTTACCCTTGCAGTCCTTGATCCACCGATGGCGTCCATCGTCCAAGCTACGGAGACCACCATCTTACTGCAGATTGAACCACCAATAAACGGCACCGACGTGAATAGTTATCTCATCAATTACACCACTCCGTATGGATACGAAATTATTCCAGGGGTGACGGATGTCTCGACGTACCTCGAGTTACACAAAGGGCTTGCAATATGCTTTAACCATTCAATTAGCGTGTATCTCACAAATGGACCAATTTACTCCCAACCAACGATTTTGTATGCGCAGCTACTATCTAAAGGTAAGTTTTCTAAGAAGTGACATTGTCTAATCTGCTATGAATAACTGGTTGGCCACATGCCCTGATAAACCGGGAGTCGTTTTGTGTAGTCGTTACACTAAGCATCTTACTATTCCGTTATTTCCAGAAGTCCCTAAAGCGCCCAAAATTGATCGAATCAGTCCGTCTCCCAATGGATTCGTTCTAACTTGGTCCGCAGAACGAATGGGCACATTGCTGAGTTATCGTGTTTCATACGAAGATGAATATGGCACCGCTCATACAGAATGGGCAGCTGGAGCAGATCGTCAAGTTGTCTTGCGTCGTATGCAAAAGTGCCGTGTGTATGATGTTCAAATGTGGGCCGAGAACAAGTGTGGGCTTTCACCCGCGTCTGAGCTGATGACCTATCAGGTGGAACCTCCGAGTTAGTGTTTAATAACACTATGAAGTTTTGAAGCATATTATTCCATTATAATGCTTGCAAGGAACCCATACATTATCTCTCTTGCCAATTTGGAAGCATACATCGTAAATCAATAATATATAAGTTCAGTAGTTACCTAGCTCCGGACAATCGCTTGATGCGCTTGTTTAGTTCAGATTTTCCGCATGGTGCTACTTAGTTGAAGAAAACCACGGATAAACTCATTTCATGTTGTGTGCATTTGTGAGGAGATAAGAAGAAAGATATGTTTTGGCCACCTATTTTGTATGTCTGTTGGGGCAATGCTGCAGCCGATAAGCAACCACTTGTGGATACGGACACATTTTACGCTGATTGCACCTTTAGCCAGCACCGCATAAATGGGCTGACAACCAGGAAGCTGACTATCTCGCAGGGAAACTTCAAGGCTGAGGTAGTAAGACTTTGAGATGATGGACCAGCTGAAACTTGGTTCTCCTGTTCATTCTGGTGTGTGCTACACGACTGGGCGTTTAAAGGAGCTTTGGCATTCAGGTAATAGTGGTCAGTTGTGAAGCTCGTGCGAACAGGCTCTGTCACTGGGTACTGGGATTGATTACCTAACATGCCAACTCTAACTCATGGTGTCCCTCTGTACAGGCTGGAAGCTCTCTAAGGGGTCAAGATTAAGCAACTTATGCTTTCATGGTATATCAGTCGACCTGCCAGTATGATATGCTCTCGTTTTTAATTGCCGGGGATTTAGGATGAAACTAGCAAATTCATAAAACCCATTGTTTCCCGTCAAAAAATCAACTGATTCGCATCGAGTTTTTCCTCTGTAGTTTCTGTCTTGTTTCGCTTTCATGCTGCGGTGGAGGCAGCATCATTGCGGCAACCTGTGGATGCCTTTCGCAACAAAAGGTAAAATGTTCACGTGGCAAGCCCACCTTTAGGATATTCAGCTCACCACTTTGTCTCATTGTTCTCCGTTAATGCTTTAAGCAGCACACTTACGTTTCTTCCGCTTTCTTCGTCATTTCAGCTGCCCCTAACGAACCGAAAGCCATAGAACTGAGTGGAACCACCGAGGCACTAAAGGTGAGCTGGACAAAGCCCGACACCTTGCAAGAGACCACTGACACCGACCTTTTGCTCGTGGATGGACGAGGTGGTTCCCGCACATATTGGGCTCCTGGTGATGCCGACTCATTTGTTCTTCAGAACCTGCGCCACGACCTGAATTACACTATCCTCGTCTCCTTAGGCAACGCATGTGGTTGGTCGCAATTCAGTAAAAGAACCTTTTCATTTGACTCTAGTGGGGAGTTGGTAATTGCTTGAAGCTGATGTAAAATCTATATCACTAAACCCGTGTAGCCGTACACTTTGTCTGTTGCTTTCAGTTAACCGAAATCCCAGATACAAACTTTCTAATTTTTCTATGCTTATCATCTACTTGTTAACTCCCCGACTATTGTCCATCAAGAAGGTGAATTTAGGCTGTTCTGAAACGCTAACGTGACAACGCAAATTCAATGGATCAGTAGTAGATGATAGTTTCAATAGGCTGATAGCAATACAAAAATTATCAGTAGGTTTCAGCTAATTAAATTAGATACTGTGTGACCAGATTCGGTCAGTCAACAACCACATAGCTGGAAATGAACTGATAGGTTACCCCTTCTTATGTTGACTCAGCGCTTGCGCGAATATTTTCGAGATCTACGGGGCTCGAATTCACAACTGTTCTCTCATCTGCACTAACCTAACCCACCAAGCTACGGGTAACGAAGCTACGATATCACGAGCAACTCGTGTCATAAAAGCATCTCATTCTCAAGCACGATTTATACTACTGCTAGCCAGAGAACATGGCTGGCTTCCTGACCTACGAGTTCGTCTAGTGAATCGCAAACATTTTTATAAGATTACTACCCAACTAGTTTGGTTACCAGTTGCTGGAGTGCACCGCCTTTTCCCGGTAGATGAGTTACGCCATGTCTTAGATAATGGCTGTTAAAAGTTGTCCACCATCATGAGTCTTGACTTAGTGGATATAGTCAAGGCATCAGTACAATCTTCCATGATATAGACCATTTAATTTTGATTATCTACCGCTTCCAACTGAGTAGATATTACACAACCGCCCGTTTACTTTCCGGGTATATGATGATTGCGTAGTTAAACCACAAACAAGGAACTGCAGAGGAAAATGATTTTCTCACGGGTCCTAAGAAAGAAGTTAGTAAAGTACTGTCCTTTAATTCAGTGCCACCTTTGGTGGCATTTCAGGAAAATCAGGTCAGGGGACAGTAAACATGTACGTTAAACAACAGTAACGTGAAAGGTAGTTTGAAATGAACTGCGCTGTCACAGACATCTAATGAATCGTATCGGATGCTACCTTTTTGAGTTGCCTACTGGCAATGACCACTCCCTGAAGTGCGAGGGGTGTGCGGTGGATCCCATTTAACTCTTTCTAACTAAACAAAACAAATGTCTGTTTTCCTTCGTAGCTGGGACACGCAGTTGTGTGCGTTTGGGCGAAACAAGTTACACCGGGAATCAACAATAATCAACCATAACCTCTTGCTTACCTCAGTCTCGCAGTATCATAAACTGCAGTTTTATGATAACCCGTGTACGGAGGGCCAAACCGTCATTCACTTGGAAACTTCGGACCCACCATAGATCTTGGAATCATGTAGACCTGTCACAATTTCCCTGCTTTTTTAACATATGTTCAGTGTAGCAATTATAGCCACGTACACTCTGCGGACATAAAAGAACGTTGACGCACTGGTCAACTATGATGCGTTATGGACTGCTTTGACTACAAGAAAATGCATTGTTACTAACAATGGTGTGATATGAACCCACTGGGGTTAATAGTACAGTAACTGCATCCCAACAGCCTTTTGGGCATACTGTCTTGTGTTACTTACCAAACTAAACTCATTTAAGTCAAGTAGGCCAGCACTGTGTTGAATGAGCCGCCATCATGAAACATTTCACGTCTAGCTGGCTCTCGCCTTAAGTAAGCAGATTTTTCAGCTCAGTGAGTGACAGTGATACCATTGCTTTATCTAAAAATTGGACAATGAAATCGAGTCAGCTTGCCGATTGACTGCGTCCGCAGCGTCGTTGTGGTGCTGTGATCTCACGGATCCGTCTAGCGCTGTCGATTGTGTCAAAGTAAGTAGGTACCGGCTACAGATCTACCACAAGAAGGATGTATTGATTAGCTGCATTGCTATGCTCGTCAAGGCTCGTGGGACAGTGATATGAGTTATTCGATGCTTCGGTTTAGGATGGGTCTAATGCCAGCAGCCGACGCCCATACCCAGCGCTGTATGCCGTTTTGATGTTTGCTGGTTCAAGCCAGGTTCCGGTAGCCTTCTTGTCATGAATGCAACGACGATGTGGTGTCAAACAAATGTAAGCTTTAGTGCTCCATAGATATCAGCAAAAGAGATCTCACTATCCTTTAAGGTTGTATGGTGGGCAATTAAGCAGCCGTCTAGTTGATTGGGTCTGTTTGTAGCAAGCAGTAAACAAAGGGAAAGACATAACCCAAAGGGAAAATTTCCAAAACTTTGTGTCTTAACATCTTTTCTTTGGGTGCCCTTCATTTGGAACTGCAAACAACACTTCATGTGCTTTGCTTTTTTCAAAGGACATAGGCAGGCCGATTTACCGAGCTTTTGCGGAAGCGTACACTTCCGGCAAGGCTCAAATGATGTGTTGGTTTCCGCCAGCGGCTATCGTGCGTTTTAGGATAAATTTATGCGAAAGCAATTGCACTGATACACGCGCAGTATAGCGGTGAATCTGTACAGCACATGCTTCTTGGTACTTTGGGAGCACACGGTAGGATGGTCAGTTTGATGTTGGTCAAAATGTCTTAGCACTATTAGATGAATAAAGAGTAAATGAATTGCCGGTGAAGAAATTGGCACCATTCGCCGTAGTTGTTGCCGGTGTCAGCGTGATAAAAGGCACACATCCTGATGGCTCGGAGAGGAAGTATAACCCATATGGCCATTGTAACGAATGAAATGAGTGGCTGTAGCGGCGAGACAAGTGCCATCTATACTTAAGTCTATTTGGTGGTGACAAAAGGGTTGTGAGAACCAATATGAGTTGGCACTGCAAGAAGCATGTGTCGCATGCTAAAAATAAATGGTCACAAAGGGCTAAAGTATCATACCTGTGGACGAACCTGGATAAGTTATTCTGAATACCACACCATCCCCCTTCATCTTGAAGGTGTACACAGATATAGTACGTCATGCCGCTTGACAAAGAAGTGACTCTTCAGTGGAGGAATTTCTGTGCTAGTGAAAGCAGAGACAGTTCAGCGGTCGCCGAACTGCATGCATGCCATAACTGTAAGATAACGGACACTCCGTCTCGCTTTGTTTAACTCAAATCTCATGGTTACGACAAGTAAAGCTAAACGAGAAGGGATTTTTCGGCTTGTAGGATGATAATCGGGTTTGAGTACCAGGTTTCACGGTTTGTGGAATTTATCACTTTATCTTCAGTGCTTTCATTTCAGCGATAAACCTGTAATTTGTGATTATCGCAGCCCATGGCTAATGGGCTAGACATTAACCAAGATGGCTACGTGCCCTACGTCAGGTACATACTCAATCTGAATACGACTCTATATTCAGGTAGGTCTAACCGGGTTAGATCTCGAACACAGGGTTTGCTCACTACCATACCACGGAAGCCAGGTGATAAAACTTGTCCTAGCCGCTTGGAAAAATAGGAGGACTCTGTCTACGTACGCATCGTGACACGTTCAAGGGAAGTCAATAAGGAATATATTGAATAGTGGTGTCAACACTCAAAAAGCTTCGTAAGTATGCTGGTGGAAAGCCCATTGTAAACGAAAACATGAACTGATTAGAAATCGGTGAACCTATCGATCGTCCCTCATCCAAAAGCACTCCACTCCACTCAAACTTATCTCACCAGATTGAAATAGCAGGCATGTGAACCTGAGGTCTTTGGAATGTTGCCCGAGAACTCTACCCATAAGCCAAGGAATCGCGATGGATAATGCAATTTACAACAGACGAACACCACTCTACATATTCGTCTACTTCTACTCAGTTCATGCCTTAGTCCATAATGCGTTTTCACGAGCCAAAATTACAAAATTTCTTAACTGTTGAACCCCCCCACTACAACTTAATCCTTACTGAGTTTTCTCCAAGATGTCAAAATGCATAATCAGACAGTATTCCAGGGTTAACACGCGGGTTGGAAAAGTATTACAACTTGAACTCTGGGATATGGCATTGCGGAAGACTAGTGTTAGAGATCCAAGATAGTTAGACGTACCTGAATTTTCCAGCGCTGGAAGTGCTCAGCACGTGTTAGTTATCTGTTTGAAATAAGCTATGTTGTATCATCAATCAAACTCCGAGTCAGACAAATGACAGTTCAGATGGAGATCACTCGTCTAGTTGATATTCCATTGGGTTACCTCTGTGTAGAGCGACCACTGTTGTTTTGTACAGCCAAGTTTCCATACTGCTTAACTGACCCCAATATAACGAAACGCATATAGGTCACTTAAAGAAAGATGTGCGGGATCAACGAAAGGCATCGAGAGCCCTTGAGTACGCAGATGATGATCCGCTAGATTTCAGCAATTCAGTATTTGCTTTTCTGCAAAAGTTATATGTCTCATCTTCGGATTAATGGGGTGAGGAAACAACGCTATAAAACCGGACATCAAACACAGTTAGAAAAGCCAAGTGGCGACTTTCTCTTAAACTGTATCGCCCCAATCTGGATAAAAAGAATTCGCTTTATTTGATCTCCTCCGTGTTTTATGCCGCTGTCAATTTTTCTTGGTCATTTTCCTACAAATGTTCTGTTGGTTGTTTGAGATCCCTGGTACTTGAGGTGAATGTTGACATAGTGCCTAGCTGTTTAACACCATCCACCTCGATTACTGGCTCCAGGTGACTGTGCATCGTTGCTGTGGAGACCTGATGCACGGTCTTCGTGGCTGTGCTAGGCCCAAAGTGTGGTTCCATCCGGTGTGGAGCGGACTACGGCTCAGCCACTGCCTTGTGTATCTTTGACACGCATGATTCCTCAACTAGACAGACTGGAATACTGCTGCTACGCACGTTGAAAGAGCGTGAACCGGCTTAATTGAGGAAACGTGGCTCCCATCTACATGCCTTCTGTTTTTATTCTTCCGGGTTTTCATTGGATACGGGTGTGTAGATTGAGCTGTGAATGGCGCAGCGCAAGCCACCCTTGTTCTCTCTGTAGACGCAGGCATCCCGTGGGGGGTCGCAGTGACAGGCAAATCGGTAACTGGATACTCCCAACCGTGGTGTTGTGTGATAGTAGGTTCCCCTTGATCTGCAG